AATAAAAATTTAGTAAAGTCATCCAACATTTCTGCGCAGCCAGCCAATTCCCTTTCATTCAAGCAGGGCTGAAAGTACTCACATGTACAACAACAAAAAAAAAAAGGCTTTAAAAGTAAAAGTACTGATTCAAATTATTCATTTGAGGAAAAGTTAAAAAAAAAAAAAAACTCTGGAATGTACTTACCGGTAAGTGCAAAAGTAAAAATTAATGAATAAAATAAAAAAGTCAGTCGCTAATGGTGTCATGGTGCCTGACTTGTGTGCGGGCAGTGTGGGATCGGTTCCCACTCAGTGACGGTGTGGATGTGAGTGTGAATAGTTGTTGGTCCCTACGTGTGCCCTGTGACTGACTGGCGTGTCGTCCGCCTTCCGCCCAAAATCAGCTGGGACAGGCTCCAGCAACTCCGTGACCCTGTTCAGGATACGCGGTGTTGAAAATGGATGGATCATGGAAAAAGTCATCAGATAGCCAAAAATTCATATTTATGCTTCATTACTTCCCAACAGTGCATACAAGTCAAGTGTATGGATCCAATTCATATTTTTGTGTGCCACACCTTAGGAAGGATTTCCTGGAGGAGATCCGAATCATGTCTCGCCTGATGGACCCCAACATTGTCCGTCTGCTGGCTGTATGCGTGGACACAGACCCTCTTTGTATGATTACGGAGTACATGGAGAACGGAGACCTCAACCAGTTCCTTTGCCATCTCAGACTAAAGGAGGTTGATGATGAGGACTGTGAAGCAGGACAGGAGGAGAAAGAAGACAGGAGGATGGTCAGGTAGATGCCATATCCTTCCATGTTTATTGTGACAGCAGACATTTCGGTGCTGTATCAGAAATTGTCCAAGTTGAAAGATTTTTACATTATGAAATTACAAAAAAAAAAAAAAAAAAAAACAATGCGAAAGATATCAAAAAAAGTCTGCATTTTTTGTCACACTATTTTACATATTTATTTGTCAAGACGAGCTCTAATTAAGCTTTCCGGAATCGGGAAAAGGTCACATGTGGGGGGGGTATGCGCGGGCATGTGTGCGCTCGCGCGCGTGCGTGTGAGTGATGGCGGAGAAGAAGGGAGGTACGGAGGAAGAAGTGAGGGAGTCGTAGCCGGCTTTGCGGGGAGCAGAGAGGAGCCGCGCACAAAATACAACAAGTGAGGAAACTGTTGCTCTGGGCGCAGGCTCGCTCTGCGGCGGAAGTCTCGTCAAGTTCACTTGTCAGAATTTAAGACTTGTCGCTTCCGTGCGACTTGGTGTCATTAAAGTGACACTCTTCTCATCATTTCCGTCGTGTTTCTTTTTGTCTTTGAGTATGTATGAGTGTGTTTTTCTTTTTTTTTTAACTGGCAAGAAAATAAGTTTGCATCGTCTTTGGATGTTTTTTCTTTCTGCAGCATGAGGAAGCAAACCAAAGACGCATTGACGGTGAGTTTATCTTTACTTGGCATTATAACTCTGCTACTTTTACTTTATTGGAGCGCACGATCCAAATGAGACTAATTTTATGAAAATGACAACACTTCGTATTGAATTTCGAGATTTTGCGAGCTGAGTTTGTCGAGTGTAATTGTTGAGGTGAATGAAGACCCCGAAATATCCAAATACATTGATTCTATATGTATAATAATAAAGAAATGTATTTTGTTCTCTGTTTAGTATCACATAAAATACAACTCATGTGATTATGAGTACATTTTCAAGGTGAAATCTAAACGTTTAGTCACAAAAAATATAACATCCAAGAAATATCTTGCCTGTACAAATATGATATATGCAATGATTGGAATATAAAGTGATCATTTTATTGCTTTGTATTAATGTGTGTTTAATTGTTGTTTTTCCCCTGCAGATTGTGAAGACCATCTGTGCTGTGATGTCCAAAATGTCTTTAAAACTAAAATCTTCCCGTGCGCTGCCTCGTTATGCAGAATCTGTGTGTTTCTGAACTGTAAGAGATTCCCATTTGAAAAGAAAAACTAGAGGACAACATAGTAGACTGATCTCATACAACGGTGACAGACAGTCAAACTAAAAAGAAAACAATTTGGGTGGAATAAACGAGCACATTTGTCAGTTTCAAGTGGACAGCCAAGTGAGCGCCATCCCCCAAATGTGGTGGGTGAGATGAACCCCAGTGGGAATACTGTAGACCCTACCTGACAGCTCTCTGCCTCAGCACACAAGAGCGTCGTGCCGTGGAACAAAACACCAACCATTCAGGAACTCTTGTCAGTGCCGAAGTTGAAACTGCTCATACATTGTCTCATAAAGAGGAAAAGATTGACAGTAAATGTACTGACGCAAGCAAAGGTCTGCCTCGACATTACCAGTCCCGCACACAAGCACACACGCTTGCAATATTGCTTTGGTGACGTTCCTCCCAGAGTTCAGCCTGGCCGGCACAACCATTCCGGCCAAGGGGGAGGAGGACTTCCTCACGCTGGCCGCCTCCCGCCTCAGCCGCAAGAAGCGCGTGATTGGGGCTGGAGTCGGCGTGGCCATGGTCCTGGTACTGCTGGTGGCCATCCCCCTACTGGTCCACACCACCAAAGGTGGCGCATCCGGAGGGGGCACGCATTACGAGATGCTGGGGAGCTGCAAGATGGTGTGCGACACTTTCACCCCACCTCAAGGAGAGCTGACAGGCTCCTCCCCTCAACCCCCAGACTTGGCAAACCGTAGGGGCAAACAGGGTTTTAGAGGAAACCCAGGACTTCCTGGTCCCCCGGGCCCTAAAGGTCCCCCCGGAGAGCCTGGGAAACCCGGTCCACCTGGGCCGCCGGGACCTGGGCCTGGTGGCTACGGCCCTTCCTTGTACACCCCCAAGATCGCATTCTATGCCGGCCTGCGGAAACAACACGAAGGGAGTGAGGTTCTGAAGTTTGATGACGTGGTGACCAATGTGGGGAACTACTATGAGCCCACTACGGGCAAGTTCACCTGCCCTCTGCCCGGCATCTACTACTTCACCTACCACGTCCTGATGAGAGGAGGGGATGGAACGAGCATGTGGGCTGACCTCAAGAAGAACGGGCTGGTGAGTGTGTATGACCACCACATGTCTTTGTCATGTTTGTTTTGGCGCATTGAAACATCTGCCCACATCAGGGTAACTTGGTTCGCTCGATATTTACTCTCAGCTGACAGAAGATGAGAAGGAAGACTGTTGTCTTCAATCGTAATCCAGATCTTAAAAAAAAAAAAAAAGATGTTCGTCAACATGTTACAAGATCAAACTGCAGATAAACCCCTGCAGAATTTGTGAATCGATAGGAGACTATTCTGCACAGAAGTCACGATCAAGGTATCTCAGGCCTCTAATTCAAGGACGTCAATCGATTGTCTTGTTTCATTTTTATTTATTTTTTTTAACAGATATGACTGGAAAGTAAAATGTGTTTCCATTATCCTGCTGAGGGTCTCAGTGGAGGTGGAGCCTATCACAGTTGAGCAAAACAAAAAAAAGGTTGACGACACCCCGAACTGGTCTTCGGTCAATCTAATACACGGGAAAAATTTGACCACCCACATTATTTTATGTGGCCCATGAAAGCAACTCAAGTGTGTCTACCTCTTGTTTCTTTCTAAATGAATTAATTTCATTTTGACAGGGAAATGTGCACCAAATTCATAAATTGCCTTCCTTTTTAACAGATGTGACAAGTATCTTGTTTCCATACCAACAATCATCACAGCACCGTACTGCTACAGCGGAAAAAAAAAAGAAAAATTCACATTGTAACATGATGTATTTCATGTTTGGAACGTGACAAATTTCCCATTATGCGATAAATTAAATGTTTCAACATGACACATTTAATGGGAAAAGTGACTTAGGCATTCAGCAGAACAAAACGAAGCAATTCCTTCCGGTGCCGGTTACTGGCAGAGCCCGATTTGGGTATGTGCTTTCTTTTTGTGTCTTAGAGATCAAATTTATGAGCTACGTAACACT